GTTTTTAAGTAGGATCTCGATATGCAAAGACCATGATATCATCATCATGGAAGACGGCGACCCTCATGTCTATGTTTGTAACAAGACAGGTCAATTGAAATATAAGTTTAGACGAGACTCGAGTAGGGCACTTCCATTTTGTATTTCCAAACGAAACGAAATCATAATACCAACAGACGATCATACGGCGGTTCAAATATATACCAAGGAAGGATTTCTGAAGACAACAATACAAGTCCCAAATGATCATTGGGTATTGAGCGTTGCATTTCACTACGTAATTTGTAAAATATTGGTATTAACCTCGGTGAAGAAGAAAGATTCCTACTCCATTCTGTGCTACCCTGAAACAGGCGGGAAGCTGGAAACTCTTACGTTCTTTGGAGAAATAAAAAACGAGTGGTCTCCCGATCTATCCCATCCAAATGGCCCTGTCGTTGTTGTAAGAGAAAGAAGCATCACTTACCTTTGATCGTAATGTACATTTTTTTACAAAACCTCCATGGAAAACATTAAATACTTGTCTGAAAAAGTACATACTGTATACATGTTATGTAGGCGTTAAATGTTGAGGATTTTTCTAGAGAACGAAGTTAGAAACATATACGATTATTTATAGACATTAAGCAAACAATACATTTAGATTTTTGAAATTTAATAGTAAGCATTCGCTTAATTTAAATTATACAGGCCCATCAGGTCCATGTTACTGTTGTATAGGAGGAACCTGCATCACTTACATTTTAATAATGATCGCAATATTCATATATGAAATTTAAAGAAAGTTGTGGTTGTAGATTTTTTATGTCTTTGACGTTTTAAAGTGTATAAATATATTCGATAACATTTGCCGAAATTAATTTACACATAATATATAACATTTACACTTCAAATAGCTAGAATTTACTAATACACTTTCAAATGTTATCGAAAACAAAAAATCTACGTTAAAAACATAAAGAATCTATATATGTTATGATTTAGGCGTACAGCATTTAGGATGTCTCAACCATCGTTATAACAGAGCCATCCCAGACTTCATAAAAAAAAGATAGATTGGTATGATATACAGAAAGACCGTCAAAGAATGTGCCTGTGCTGTTTATGAAAATGAATACAAGGTATTTACAGGATACCAAGCCACTACAAGGCTTATAATTATACATGCATGCATGCAGGCTTCAGGTTTCTTAATTTGCCTACGTGAGGTTAAACAAACAAATTTGATAGAAAAGCTATTTACTTTTATCGAATCACAAAAGTGATCAAATTTACTATATTTTTAATAAGTAGCTCGGTTTGTTAACAAGTCATGATTTCTTTACATTTACCATTTCATTTAAGGTCAAGTAGCTATATATTGTTTACTTTTATATTCCCAATTTATGTACTTCTGTAAATACTCAATTTAAACCCTAACTTAGTTTGGTTGAAACTGGGTTTTGTTGAACGATGATTTCATGAACACGCGATGATTTCATCTCGCTCATGTCTAACTTTTACTATAAAACGGAGCTCGTGTAGTGAGATAATAAGTCGCTATTATAAGACGTCGTCGTTCCCAGTATATTGTAGTAGACAAGGTAATTCTATACTGAATTAACAGTTACTATGTTCTTCGTGTATCGAGAATATTGTTTCTTCGTGTATCGAGAAAGTCCTACGATAAATTTGTTAAGTTGCTTTAATATATATGTATGTTTGTGCCTGTCTCTTTGTAAGTAAGTTTCGGAACCCCGTTACTTATATCTCTATGTGGTGATTCCAGCCATTGTGTATTATATACGTGCGTGTAGTTCATTGAAACTGTTTGCTATGGCAAATTTATAACTATACTGTAAACTTGAACAACCTTCAAATCTCGCCTGTTTCACATGTGACGAAGTTTCCGGAAGAACTCATACAAAAACATCATTAGGAATCATATGATTGAATGTGTCTGAGCTTATTCACCAGTGTTTAGTGGAAAATTTAGCCTTAATTATTTGCTTCAGTAAAGAAATTCAGTGTTCAGTCAAAGTTTAGAATCGATTAGGTAAAAAAATTAAACTCGGTATGACTTCAATTGTGACAAGTATTCTCAGTTCAAAACTTGGTTTATTATGGAATAAGGTCCGAGACTCGACGGGAAACAAACTCAAAGACGGCGATGTGACCGATGCTGAAATTCGTAAGATTGTTGTACGCGATTCAAATGATATCGAGTCTAAAGTCGATGCCCTTTACGATTTCCTAGAAGAAGGAGTGGAGTTACTCGATTCTTCTCTTAATAAATCAAATCCGGCTGAGCAGAAAGCGAGCAAAACTCAGGACGAACCAGGTGAGCCTTCGAGCGGTAATCAGTCTGGTATCTTAAACCAAGCAATAGAGCTTCCTCAAGCCACTGGGTCCATTCTTAAAATCAAATCGTTGTTAAATAAAGCCGTTTGGTTTGAGAGTGGTGAACGTCAATTCGGTTATGTTAATCAACTATATGTTGTTTCAATATGTTTGGAAATTCGGTAATAAGCTCTCGTTGGAAGTGCCTGATTAATTTTTTCACAATGTCCGCCATTTGCCTTCCTTAGCACTCAGTCTTCTCGGGGCGGGCACTAAATTTATATTTAACCTGGATGGTATAAAGTAACTTGTGAGATACCTATAAAGCTTGGCGCCAGTTGTATGAAGGCTGGATAGCGCTATCCACCCGATAGTGATTTTTTCTACCGTTCTAAAAATGCTTAATAAAAAGCAATAATATTTCAGCTTTGGACGAAAAATTATTAGAGAGAATCCTCAACTTAGGAATGCTGAGATTAAATCAAAGTTATCAAAAAAATACTATCCAGTGGATATTATAGCGCTATCATGCTTTCATAGAACCGGACCTTGTATTCTAAAAAAGCTAGACCAACCAACCTCGTTCCCAGGATCTTCTGTATTTATGGCGCATGAGTTTGTCGCACAATACCGGCCCCTGGCTGTATTCTAAAAAAGCTAGCCCAAACTCGAGCTAATCTGACAGTCAAACATACTGAAATTGATTACACATTTTAAAAACTAATATACTAAATGTTAATAAAAGTCATTTCCAAAAGAAAACGTATCAAAATAATTTATTTATAGTTTAGCAATATTTACAACGCTGTCATATAATAAATTATATAATTATTTAACATGCTTAACGTATCTTACAGTATTATAATATATGGCTAATATAATAATTTCATGTACTTTACAGTATTTTCAAACATAAGATCAATGATATTTAATTTGCCATTGATCATTTATACGAACCACGACTCGTACGAACCACGACGTCTGTGAAAAATACGACGGAAAAGGATGACAGTCGTTTAGTGAATGAACGCTTTACTCGCAACCTTGAAGAGAACAATAACATAATTTGATTAATTTCTATAATTGGTGCTCTATATAGACTTTTAATCCTAAGCTGAAGAATATTGTCATGCCAATAGGTTATAGGCACTGCAAAACAACTTTCGCAACTACACGTCCTAAACTTTCACTTTTGAAAAATGTAGACGATTAGACAAAAGAAAACACTTTGCGAAAGTGGATAGTCTATCTTTTATCTAACAACTTAGTACTCAACATCAGCAAAGCAAGCACGTACACAATGAACGTTCAGACCAGGAACCTATAGGCATATCGTGGCACTAAATTCGCGAACGCCGACTGCTTCTAAAATAGAATATATAGCTGTAGCTGAAGTTTAGGTTACTAACCAAGAGTGCTTTGCAACTTGTTTTATACTCGGTCGAGCCGCTGGGTCCATTCTAAATAATTTTCTCATTAGGTCTTGCAAATCTACACATAAAAAAATTCGAATACAAAATCCTGGATGGCCTTGTTATACAAGAAAGAATGCACTTCGAAAAGCAACAAAATCTAAGATTCATGGGGTCAATCGAACGTTAATTGATCCCCTAGGACCAAATTCAAATACTCTGTCATGGCAGGCTGATTTCTTTTGAAAGTGAAATTGTTTTCAAAAGAAATAAACCAGGCATACGAATATGATTCCCCCTAAATTAACGTTAGATTGAGGCCAATGCCAAGATTTAAGTATTTGTAGCGGGCTAGCGGCTGCGGTTAGTGTGGATTGATGTGCATCCTAAGGAAGTTCAGAAATGTATATGAATGCTGATTTCTATATTTTCTTTCTCTAACCTGTTATAATTTCATTAATTGAACTCACCTTCAGATAAATCATCCAGTTTTGGCGGTCCTGAGATAACATCTGCAAATGTTGTGTAATCCGTAAAAGGTGGCTCGCCGTGCAACATTTCATATATCATGACTCCAATAGACAGCACAGCTTCCTTGCAAGGATCATACAATTCATGCAGAATGTATTCTGGAGGCATATTATTCGGAGTGCCTGGGGAAGTATAATATATAAAATGCTATTGTTTTGATTGGTGGATGGAATAAAACCAGTAGCGTAGCCAGACTGTGAAAAGAATAGATTTCTAAAGACTTGAATAATTATAATAACTCAAAATTTATACAGCGGGACAAAATCGTCATACTGGCTACGCCACTGAATAAAACTACTAAGCAATGACCGAAAATGAGAAATATTACTGCGGGGTTACAAGAGATGAAAGCATTTTAGTTTTTTTCAAAAATACATTCTGAGATTTCCCGAGAGTATGGATGAAGGTTAAATAATAATATAGCTGAATATTTGCTACTTTGGAAAAGAGATTGGAAAGACAAATTTGTTTTATGGTAAAGGCAACGAACTCACGCTAAAAGTTCAGAACGGAATTTGGTCACCAAAACTCAGAGAACAGAGATAAATTATTCATAGCATTCCAGGAAAGTTTACTCACCACAGAATGCATCACGCTAAAGTTGGGAACGGAATTTGGTGATAAAACCTCTGACAACAGAGATAGCAACCCCGTACCCAGGGTCTTTTTACCTTCGCTCCAAGGCCCACCCTGGTGCGAGGTTGCAGAGGTAAATGATTCATGACATTCTTGGAAAGTTTACTCACCACAGAATGCGTCAACTAGGTTGCCAGGTTTATTATACCCTGCAAGTCCAAAATCAAGCAACTTGATTTCACCAGTATCGAAATCATAAAGGATGTTCTCCAATTTCAGATCACGATGAACGATGTTCTTCTTGGACATCGCCAATACAACGTTGACCAACTTCTTCATGCATTGTTGAGTTTCATCCTCGGTGAAGAAACCTCCTACGTCCCACATGAGGCTTCGGAGATCTTTGCAATGAGTCGGTCTTTCGCAAATGATCACAAATTCCTCAGATGATAAAGACTGATAATGATAGAACTTGATGACATTTGGATGATCTTTCATCTTCTTCAGGAAATACACTTCACTTGGTACATCACTGAGGTCTTTATCCTGTTAAAGAACAATTGTAGGAGAATTCAGTATCGTTGTTTCGCAAACGAGGGACTCAGGGACAACTGTACTCTTCGATACGGTGTCCTAGTAATGTAGCCTCTTCTCTCGGCTCTTTCGCCCATTCGACTGAAGGCATTTATAGCAGACGTTCAGGAGGGTAACGCGAGAATGATTACTTTTCTTCTTTCTACACAAGTCTTTGAAGAATCGTGAGGGCTCTCAAAATTTATATGTTTTCAACGATCAATTTTCACGAATTGTATTTTGTAGTTTCACGGGCTGTATATTGTATTATCTTATATGTTCCAAACTTTGATCAATTTTGGCGAGTTTATACAACCGTACCTTGTGATAACCGCTCACCTTGTGATACTCACGAACCGTGTTATACTCTACAAATTTCAGGGCGACCTAAGATAAGAAAAATTAACAACTTTTTTAACACAAATCGCAAGAGAAGCAATATGTTTTGAATTCATATAAACAACAACTGTAGCTGTGTTATCAATGCTTCTGATGAAAAAATGAACGGTATATATAACCGACAAACATAACAAGATTTTGGAAATTTATTCATTGTAAAACGCAGGGTTAGGCAATAATGCAAACAGGAATGCTCGTTTTTGAAAAGGCAGACATTGTGTACGAATTACCGGTGTTTTTTCGGTTCCTTTTATAGCATAACCCTTGAAAACATCACTGAATCCGCCTTCGCCAATCAAGCCATTTTCTATATAATAGTACTGATGTCACATCTGAAAGTCAAAAGCAATCGCTTGTCAATACAAAACAACTTTATAACTGAAATATGTAAACTAGAATAGGGTTTAGAATAAAAAAACAAAAACTGATAAAATAGACTCATAATTTTTGTAGCGATAGAATCGACTTGCCTTTTGACTTGCAAACTTCAACAAGGTTTTCCCCATCGACAACTCTAGTGACGCGTGGCACATTTGAAGGTTGGGAAGGTTTGACTTGGCTTTCTTTCACGATTTTCCACTTGATGAGTTTTTCTTTCAAAATGTTACGCTTTCTCTTCACGTCATAGATGCTTGGAAATATAAATTGAAACATTTCTTAATAAAGAGTGTAATAGAATATTGGTTTTTCAGTTAGGGCTTAAAGATAAGTCTTTTTTAAATTAGCGCGAGAGTATTATAGCCATAGTGATCAATAAATGAATAACCTCAAGTAAGAACGGGTTTAAACGGCCCCTTTTACACTGTAAACTTAAGTTTTTGTAAAAATCGGTACTATGGAATTACGCTGCTGTCTATATACACGCTGGTGTCTAAATACCCATGCTGTCTATATACCTCCATAGTATGGATATAGCAATGGTTATTATAAACGTCCATACTGTTTTTAACTAACATCCATACTATTTCCATATTATGTATTTTGAAAAAAATTTCAAGTGATTTTTTTTACTTACTTGTGAATGCTACTACAGCTTACAATGGCCTAGAGATGGCCTAGCAACGGCTTAAGCGCTTTAGTTTTTCTCCCAGCAATAGGGAACACCGTAATTCGAGCCTCACTAAAAAGTTCACATGCTTCGAACTTTTCTAGTAATCCGAGGGTCATTTAGTAATCCGAGCAAAACGATTATTAACATTTTGAGGGCATACGAGACGCACGATAAAATTTGTGGTAAATAACCTAAACTGAAACGTTTGTTTGATTAAAGACTGTCTTAAGCCGCCTCCAATTTTACATAAGGAATATACCTATAGAGCCTACCTCAGATTTGTGCTATCTGGAACACCAGTAGAACAAGATCGACTGAACTATAAACACAAATTAAAACATTTAAACATATCAATACGGATTGCATTGAAATGAAAAATCTATATATGTCTCAATATTCTAAACAACTTCATGGCATACATGTGTTAAAATAACTTATACATAATTTCTATTTTAACAAGTTCGCATTTATAATTCCCATAAGATAAGAATAACGGTGAATGTCACCCAACCAGGTTGATCTTTTATTGTTATCTTCGGAATAGTTTTATCTTGAGAAAGAATTTTTGGATGTAGTGTTCTCGGTTGCTATTTCTTACCATTTCTTGAGACGTCTCTGACGCTAGAGAAACTTCAGCGAAAGAGCACAGGCCTCCACTGTTAATTATAATAAAGAGAAAAATATGTAGTTAGACGAAACATCCAAACGAGAAACATCCATTTAAATTAGCAAATAGCTACCTTCGTTTGCTAGTTACTTTATGATATACGAACATGTAGATGTTGGCCGACGTATGAGGTGTTATGATAAGAAGTGCGCCATCCCCAACCTTTCAAAGTTGGTTCTCAAGTCAGTTCCGAATATCACTGCATTCACTGGTCGCACCCCAACATTTGAACAATAAAACGATATTATCGCTGTAGTACAGGACTGACATTGAGATGACATTTAAATGTTATTACACCTCTTACCTATTCTCCAAGCTTAAGAGTTCAAACGACTCCAAAGATTCGGCCTGTAATTACAATTTGTTGCATGCGTGTCAAAAACTTTTTACAGAAATCGAATTCACTTCATTTCATCCACTACATCATGCAACGTACTATACATTTACATATACACGCACAATCGTTTTCTTACTTGACTATCATAAGCCAGCTCGAATTCCGGATCAATGGTCTGGTGTAATGGACCGTGGACCGCTGTTAAAAGAGATTCATCTGTTAATGATGGTTATCAGCGATTCAAATGTTGTATATATTATAGGAGACTGGTGGTAGTGAGAATGACTGTATCTTGGGTCAGTTTTGGGGACGAGCTCTTCCCGAGAACAATCCCATAGTAGATTTTCAACCTCACTATTACCAATCATCTAGTTCTGAAATGAAGGTCTAATTCGAGTGTTCGGAGTGAATTAGCTGCAATGTATGCATTAGCCTTGTATTACATAACATACATGCAATTCCAAACTTTACTCTCTATACTGTCTCCACTATATACACAGGGACGTAGCCAGGGGGAGTCGTGGGAGCCGCGGCCCCCCACTTTGAAAATTTATTGCTAATATATACCTTCTTCGAAAGGAATTAATTTAAATATGGATAATTAAATCTACTTAGCCTTTCAAGTATGCTTGTTTTATTCCTTCCGGGCTGAAACTCAGTGTTGATCGTTGTTGTCATGTAAGAAAACTTGAAATTCTAGCTTTACGGCAGCAAATTAGTATTGGGAGACATTTACAGTCGCTCCCACAGGGAGGGGTTTATTGAGCATTTAATTTGGGCATGGAATGGCAGCGAATCAGCATCATTCCGCCTCATCGCCAGAAAAACGCGACATGCGATTGCGTAACACCTCGAACGCACGTATCTAATTGCTTTAATTAAAATATTTTTTATGTGAAATTGTATCAGAAGAGCACAATTCATTCAAAATATTAGCTAAACTGTTTGTGAACCACAACAAACGAAAGCAAGGCATTGTAGAGTAAGCGTCGGCCTACAATGCCCACTAACTACTTATCGTATTCTACAAATCGCGACTTGTCCCCTCCGAATTTTATGAAATTTAGATTTCTATACGACCGTTACTGTAATAATGCATGTCAAATAGACGGCAATAATTATAAAACAGGCGATAAAAATGACATGAGCGGACAAAATTTGCCAACGAAACTTGAAGTTATTACTCGAAGTTGTCTAGTTCCGTAATATATAAATATTTCGTTCGCTTACGTTATTCCCGTTTGTCCCTCGTAAAATATATTTAAACGCACACAAAGCGCTCACAAATCCTCCGCTAATCCTCCGACATGATAATTTGCATGTATACTAATTTGCATTTAACTTTCAGCATAATGGCCTTCAACTTTTACTATAAAATACATAGAGTAAATATACAAAACTTAAAAATGCCGTTGCCTTAGACCTTGCCTACTGTTTGCCGACCTCTAGATCGGTAGAGCAGCTGTTTAGAATCGTTTCGGTGACCAAATTTTTTAGCTTGGGCATTTCTGCAATCTGCCAAATTTAAAAATATATTGCTCAAAGTTTTATCCGTGTTCTGTCAACGAACTTATAAAATCGCTCACATTGATTCGAATATCTCGATTCAGGTAGTTGATAAATTATTGACGTGTAATATACCAAAAAAAATTGTTAAAGATATTGTCTTTTTCTGTACGGCTCGGATTTTCACTGCAATCACTTTAAAAAATATTATCAGTCTTATCAGGAACTTGAACAATACGAAGGCTATATACACATTTGTTCACAATCAGTTGGCCGAACGTAGAAATACCTAAGGTAAGTAATTCGATCATTAAAACTTTGGGAAACGGCTGTTCTATTGACCCAGAGGTCGGCAAACAGTAGGCACGGTCTAGGACAACGGCATTTTTAGGTTTTGTATATTTACTATATGTATTTTACAGTAAAAGTTGAAGGCCATTATGCTGAAAGTTAAATGCAAATTAGTATAAATGCAAATTATCATGTCGCAAATTTCTGGTAACGTAAAAATTTATCCTTTTCGCATCCTGTATTAAGATCTTACCATTCCCAGGAACATTCCTTTTCAAAGAAGCGTAAAAACTGCAATATAAATTTCAAGTTAAAAATATTAGAAGACATTTATTTGCAACACATCCAACTTTTTTATTTATACCATTTACAGTTCAATTAGGTGAGAAATGACATTATATGTCGGGAATTGAAAGTTCAGCAGGTTCCTTAAAAAAAGGCTAATCCTCTCGAAAATGTGGGGAACGTGAAATCCTTTCCTGTAGTGTGGAAATTCCAAGCAAGAAAGATACTTCTGAATGACATAATGTGTGATTTTCAAGGACTTATAGTACTTCGAAAGCCTAATTTATGTTAAAGTAAGGTAATGTAATCATTACTACCATACTCATTCACAGATTTTAAAACAACGATTATAGCACAATGGATCCTACACATTATGTTTCCGAATACAAATTTAATTTATAAAACTTAACTTATGAATTTCACAACAATGAAACATGTATTTACCCTAGAATACTCCGATTCTTGAGATGCATTTGCGTAATCAAATGTACAACGGACACTGCCAACGCTAAAAATATTTTTTGTGTGAAAATGTTATTTTTCTACTCTAGATGATTAATTAAAACGCGGAAATCTTCAGGTGATATGAAAGTTGGTGATTAATAAGAGCTTAAGATATTCCTAACAAATAAGATTGAGATATTCCTAAGAGATAAAACAAAAAATAGATAGCTAAAGGCTCGCAAGGAAAACTATATAATTATTTCCTTGTAAAACTTTTTACCCGCTCGCATGACGGACAATTTTCCCCAGTGGAAATCTGAGCACCCCATACCATAATTCGTAATTCACATGCCGTAACGTGTTGTTTTACGAATTCGATGAATGAAAACTGAATTACAGCAAACTACGACGAATCATGACAAATTATGTCATATGAAAACCAGACAAGCTATGCGTGTCAGCGATGAACTAGGTATTTTTTGCCGTGCACAAAAAACGATTAAACATGGGTTTTAAAAAGAAAAACAGGAATTATTAAGGTAGAATCACTTGGTCGAATGTGCATAGCTGAACAGAGCAGGAAGCGCTTGTATGTTTATCCTGATCGACACAAGAACGCCTTTATATTATTATAT